GGAAAAGGGGGTAGGTTCTATGAAAGAGAGACTCTAGTTAATAACGCTACGGAAATTTTTAAAGAAAACCAGGAATAGTAAGCATCAGAATGGATACTGCTTAAAAGTAGACCATTATAGAGAGAAACAGTCTTCAAACTCTTTTGATTGTGTACCGCATAAAAGAATTTTGAAAACTTTAGCTACCTCCTTGAACATTTTTAACTTGACATCTGACACTTTTCATCAAAAATATAAATGAGTTGTTTTATAAATAAAAGAATACATTAAACATTTTATAAGATGAAATAAGAGGAGAAATGATTACAATTAGAGTAAACATTTCATGACAAGATTTGATTTTAATAGAGGTTTGAACCACCTTATTGTAAAATTCATATCTAATCTAGAAGTAACCACATAATTTTTTATCTGAGAATTTTATCAAATATATCTTGAAACTGGGAAAATATCCCAGCTTCACTTCAAAGAACTGGTTCCCTAACATTCCAGCGCTGGTCAACCTTCACCTATAATAAAAACACACACAACAGGCCAGGAAAGGCAGGAAAACCAAGAGCTAGGTGAATGTATTAATCATTAACAACCTGATACTTGGAATTATCCCTTTGTTGACAAGCTGGAGGTATTTACTCTAGACATCGGCTCACAAAAAGGTGTGCATGCCTTTCTTTTTTTAAAAAATGGGAAGAGGAATAATGTGGACATCGGCATATTTTCAGGCAATTTTAAGAAATAATTTGGAACTTACGGAAGTTGGAGAAGAGCTTGAGATATGTGTCAGTGTGCTTCCACCAGGGAGAAAGCAAAGTAAAAGATTCAAGGATGAAGTCAGCAGAAACTGGAAGATAGGTAACAAGGTTCTAGCATATAGATAAATAGATGAGGGATTCTTAACAAATAGAGAAGAATCATTAATTAAAAAAAAAAATTGAAGGAAATTCCAAGACCACTAGCCAAACATCAAATTACTCATGATATTCAAGGCAACATCAAACTGAAAGTGATTCACACCTTGGACTTCTTGGTGAAAGTATCGAGTTTCAGGGAAAAGAGAGAACCCTATCACACCTACCTACATACACCTGTCCTACAAAAATTAGTTGGCTAACCAGCTGGCTAATCCTTATTTCATTAGATACCAGAAGAGACTCGCAGGAAGTCAATAGTGATTGGAAATTTTTGTGAAACAAAACTTTTCCTGGCTAACTTAATATTTTAATGTATTTAGGCTCCATAATGATAGTGTGGCATATTAAGAAAGAAATTCTCTGCTATTCTGGAACTCAGAGGATTATCCAAGTACTTTTCCAAAATAATCTCCACTAGAATATTTTGAGGAGAAAAAGAAGGAGGAAGAGGGAGGTCATAAAAAAAAAAGTCAGTGGCCAGAACTAGGTTAAGGAAAAAGTGAGAGGTGCCCAGGACGTGACAATGAAGGGATGCTCACTCTCCTGGGCCAATTCTGTGCTTGCCCAAGTCTGAGAAAGAATGTCTCCTTAAATTTTGGGCACCTGGCCTGCCTCACCCTAGGGGACCTTGAAGTACATCCAAATCACAGTGACAATTGCGATACTTAACAGAATATAATTCTGGTATGGAAAGGACTTAATGCAACCCTAATACATTAACTGCCACAAGTTAGACACAAATTCAGAGAACAGTAATGAAACCAAGGGGACACTATTTGGGTGCGATGTCCGGGTGTCTCAGAGACTAGTTTCCTCATGCATATCTGGTAGGAGTCAACAGATGCTTGTTTTACTCCATGAGTTATTCCCTTAAGAAATAAAGCATTAAGAAAACAATGAATTTGGGGGCTCAACACAGCAAAATGTAATCTTCCTACCAAGGCGAACTTAGAGGAGAAGTTCTTGGAGGCTTAAGTTCTCTCCATGATTAAATAAAGGTAAATGAAAATAAACGAACTAAGTATTCAAAACAAAATTTATGAGAAATAAAATGAAAGGAAATAGGAAGTAAGACTGATAAAAGATAAAGCCAACAGATTCTAAAATAAAAAGACAACTATCTTTGGGGTGCCTGGGTGGCTCAGTCAATTAAGTGTCCCACCCTTGATTTTGGCTCAGGTCATGATCTCAGGGTCATGAGATTGAGCTGCATGTCAGGCTCCTCAGAGGGAAGTCTGCTTGAGATTCTCTCTCTCCCTCTCCCTCTGCTCCTCTCGTCCCTAAATAATAAATAAAGAAATCTTAAAAAAAAAAAGACAACTATCTTTAAAATAAATAAATCACTAAGTTGTCTAATGAAGAAGCAGAAAGAAAGCACCCACGCCTCATGTCAGAGTCCCAAAGAAGCTCACACCTCAGATACAGAAAAAATGAATATATTATTAAAAAGATAATTTGATAAAACATTTCAATATCTTGCAAATATGTTTTCAATTATGTATAAAATAAATGATCCTCCAAGATAACATAAATTGTCAAAACTGATGGAAGAATACATAGAACCCCTTCACAGGCCCATAACCATGAAGGAAACTGAGAAAGTTATCCAAAGAGTCTCCTCACAATGGCTTTGCGCCTACATAGTTTTACAAGCAATGCTTTCAAGCCCTCAGATAATAAAAGCAATAATACAATTTCCATTCTATTTTTTTCCAGATTATTGGGCACTAAAGAGTTCTTCATTCTTTTCTTGAAATCAGCATAAGCTTCATATCCAGACATGACACGTGTGCATTCAGAACCAATGTCATGTATCAATAGGACAGCCATGTCCTAAATAAACTAGTAGTGAGTCAAACCTGATGGTATCAAAAGAATACTCAAGGTACAGTTTGCTCAACACGAAGACATATATTCATATAATTCATACTATTTAAGTCAAAAGAGAAAAAGCAGCTCATATCATTGTTAGATAGATGTAGATAAACGACTTGAGAAAAGTGAATTGATTCACATGACTTAATGTTAGAAAAAGCTTTTTAGGGAAGGGGGTTGGCTAGAGATGCTTGGGATCAACTCACAGCTGCACCTATTCTGAAGCCCCTGGGAACCGTAAATGATAACCCTTCTTCAAACCATCAGATGGGGAACAGTAACTGCAGAGTCCCTGACCCAGAGATGTCTGTCAGGAATCAATCGTAGCAGCTGCTCCAAAACCCTGGACATACAGGACCATTGCTCTTACCTTCGAGCCAACGGATGCTTCCAGGGGCATGCGTGGGAAGCCTGAGCTCATTCATGTTGCTGTTTAGGAACTTGCACTGTGATCCAAAGCTGACAGCATCGATTGTCTGGCTGCTTTCCCTTCTGCTCTGATGCTGGAGGGTCCCGTGGAGGAGGAGGAGGGGGGCAGCCAGGAAGAACGTGAAAGGGGCTCCTTCCTACCTGCTCCATTGATCAGACCTAAGCCCAAGACAGAAGAGAGGCTTTGAGATGAATGAAACATTGGATTTGTTTTAAGTAATGTTTTACTTTTTACCTACATAAATGCCCACTTTCCACAGAGTGAAAGCACCATGTGACTAGCACCCAAGTCATAGGAGATGCCAGCGCCCAGGAGCCTCCATTACATCCCCCATCCGGTCACTGATACCACCTCCACCCGAGGGGAAGCCCTAACTTGATTTTTAATAGGATAAACTAGTTTTGTCTGTTTTGAAAACCTTTCCTTAAGTGTTTGAAAGAAGATATTGCTCGTCTTTTTTCACTCAATACCGCATCTATGAGATCCATGATTGCTGGGGTGTCCTTACTCGCCTTGCTTTGTGAATAGACCATTATTGATTTACTCATTCTTCTCTTGACAGACAATTGGGTGGTTTCCCGTTGGGCTACTCCGAACGTTGTTGCACATCTTGTTCTGAATGTGTAGGGACGTTTCTAAGTGAAGTGTCTGTCACTGGAATGCCTACATTTGGCTTTAGGGGACGTTGCCAAGCAGCTTCCAGAGGTTCTAACTGGCACTCATGAGCAGTGGGTGAGAGTATAAGTTGCTCCACACCCTTGCCAATCTTTGTTGCCATCTTCTCTCACTTTCTCTGTCCATTCTGTTGAAGTGCGTGGTGCTATCTCGCGGTGGTTTCGATTTTCATTTCCCTAATGTCTAGTGAAGTTGACCACCTTTTATATCTTTAGGTCACTTAGAATTTCTCTTTCATGAAGTCCCTTTTCGAGACATTGGCCCATGTTTCTGTTGGGTTGTCTGCCATTTTTTATTCTTTTTTTCCTGTATTTAATTTGCCCATCCATTTTACGACTCTTCTCTTTTTCTCTTCTTTTCGTTTTCTACAAACTCCCCTTCTTTTCTATATTGTAAATACCCAGAGGACAGAGCCAGAGTGTTCTCATCTTAACATCATCCTCAGAGCCTGGCCATCTGTTTTCTTTGAAACACCTGCTAAAAAATACCTGTTGGTATGCGTCAGGAGATTCTTTTCCATCCCGGTGGTTCTGTGGGGCTTTTAAAGATGGCAGGAATTTCTCTTCTAGAACAGTTGCGGCAAAACCAGCGTCAGCTCTGTGTATGAGCTCTCACAGCCTAGAGGATGTGTTTTAAGAAGTAGGAACCACAATGAATTCCTCTTGGAGACAGTGATGACTATCTGAGTCCTGGGAAAATAGGAAGAAGGTCAAACGATCTTTTTCAATCCCGAAAAAGGAACTTCTATGGTATGTGAAGTCATTCTATGTTTTCTTCCATCTTGTTATACCTTCAGTATTCTTCTCCTTATAAATCATCATTTCATTTGGATCATCTGTTGCCTCCCTTCAATTTTCATTACATGGTCCAAACTATCTCCTTATACCTTCTGAAAGTGCCCATCTTGCCTCCCCTTGAGCCTTTCAATTCTGTCTTTTCTCTCCCTCGATTTCTAGTTAACCTCATTCATTTACTCTCTGCCTGGTCATTTCCTGGTCATTAATTCCCTGGAATCTAGCTAAGGATAAGTAGATATCTGTTTCAGCTGACAGAAATAATCCTCATCTAAATAATTTGAAAATGGTCTATTTTAATTTTAACATGTGAATTTTAATAGAATTTAGCCACATAAATAAACATCCATGTTTCACACAATGTATACAAATAATAAAAAAGTCAATTCTGTGGATTACAGCCTTAAATTTCTGTTCCATGCTGAGCTCTATAATGCATGACTACAGCTCCTAGCAGGTCTTCTCTGTGTCCATAATCACCCCCATGAAGGTACTTATCAGTGATTATTTTCACATAGATTTTTATTCATCCAGCACTTTCCAAAGAGGAAACTTCAAAGGCAACAGGAATTGGCGTTTCCAGTGTGTCCGGCAGCTGTCGACCCTGGCTGCATGCTAGAAACCCTGCTGCGTGTCTAACAACCTGTGGCACCCTGGCTCTCCCTCAGACCAGTTCATTCAGAGTCTCTGCGGGCGGCCCCATCATCCGTGTGGTTTAGAGACTCCCCAGGAAATCCAACACGCAGCCAGAGTTGAGAACCGCTGAGCCTATGGCCAAGAATATGAAGAATGATGACACGTAAAAAACGTCGCAAAAGTTAACGGTCAGCACTGCATTTCAGTTTGTAATTCAATATCCTCAGAGGCGGGTGAGGGTCTTCTCTTTGGCCCAGTCCTGGATTTCTACTTGTCCAAATGTGATGTAAAAAAACATGCCAAACATGTTGACGGCAGCAGACAGGAAAAAGACATTCCTCCATCCAGACACAGAATCCTGGAGGCAGAAAACACAGAACTATCAGTCTCACGGCTCCTTCCCCACCAGCTCTAGAAATCCTCCATTTTGTGTATCGCAATATTGATCTCCAAGTATAGCAGGAGTGATCTGCAATAGCCACTAAACATTTTAACTTATCAAAGAAAGTTTTATGAAATTGTTGGAGACAGAATGACTCTAAAATGAACATTGGGTTCTGGGTCGAGATGGCTTTTTCTTTTTTCTTAAAGATTTTATTTATTTATTGGAGAGCGAATGAGAGAGAGAGAAAGCATGAGAGGGTCAGAGGGAGAAGCCCGCGATGTGGGATTCGATCCTGGGACTCCAGAATCATGACCTGAGCTGAAGGCAGTTGCTTAACCAACTGAGCCACCCAAGTGCCCAAGATGGATTTTTCTTTAAACCAAAATGAATTAACCTACACTAACGTCTTTCTAGAAATCTGGATCTCAACATTCACAAAAATATCACATTACTCATTTAGAATTATGCCTAAAGTGACATTGTTAAGCTCTTATCCTTGTGTTCTCTCTGTTTAGTTGTTTTTGGTTGTTGACATCAGTGCCAACACCCCTTAGATGAGCCTCTCAATATAACGTGAGTCATATTTGGCTGGAATGATCCTCCTCACCCAGGCCTGGTGAGTCATAGTTCATTTCCGGCATTAGAATCACAGCAGATTCCTAGCAATTTGGCTGAAAATGAACCTGGAAACTAGATCACATAGAGATGTGTTAAAAATAAACAAAACTTTTTTGTAAGTTGGGGTGCCTGGGTGGCTCAGTTGGTTAAGCGTCCAACTTTTGATTTCAGCTCAGGTTGTGATCTCAGGGTTGTGAGATGGAGCCCCGTGTTGGGCTCTGGGCTGGGCACTGAGCCTACATAAGATTCTCTCCCTCTCCCTCTTCCCCTGCCCTCCCTCCGCCACCCCGTTCTCTCTCTCAAAAAAAAAGATAAAACTTTCTTGTAAGTTGACTCTTGTCATCCTGCCATCCCAGCCTGGCTCTGCTTTCCTTCTGTCCTCCCAGCCCACACTTCACACTGAGTGAGCCTCGTGGCGCATGCTCACAGCCATGCTCTTGTCTCCATGACCTCACCTCCCTTTATTTAAACTGGCCTTGGGACCATTTATGCTTCCATTTTGTAATTGTTTCTAATTAGAATGGATCTGAACAGACTCTTCATAATCTTTCCCTTCTGCTCCTCTGTATCTCTTACCATTCCTTGACATGTATCATTTACTCTGGTCCTAACCCAGAACCGTTTCATGCTTTTCTTCCTCCAGGAGCTCATTGGTGCTGTTTTTCTCTACCTGAACTGCTCATTTTCATCCATCCAACATCCATTCATTTTTAGAAGTTCAGCTTATATTTTTCTCTCCCTGGGGAATCTGACCTAATAGACTGTCATTTCGAGTCCCCTGCGAATAGAGGGACTGAATTGACATCCACGCTTGCTGTCTCTGTCAGAACACGCCATCCTGGAGAGCAGAGGCCCCGCCGTGAGTCCCTGGGCCTAAAACAATACCTGCCACTTGCAGACATTCAAGAAACTGGCCAACCTGACTGATAAGGAATCCGGTGGCCGTGGAGGAGATGATTCCTGCGATGAGCCCAAATCCCCTTGAGATTCCCATGAGGAAGCTTGCATACCTGTGGGCCGAAGATTTTACAGATGATTTTATGTAGAAAGCTATCTGGGGCTTTTCAGCAACTCAACTTTAATGCAGTTCAATTATAATAGCAAAGTTATTTTGCCCAATGCAGTGTTTCGTTTACCTAAAGACATTCGGGGTAATGCCTGTTTGCCAACCCTGAAATCACCTCTCTGCCAAGTCAACAACCAGGGGCCACTTCAGTCTCTGGGGAGCCCAGGATCCACCTGCCACCCCGATCCCGAGGCCGCTCAGCAAGACAGGCAGTGTATGCAGTGCCCAGGACCGCAGACTCCAAACAAACTGCCTGGGGCCAAAGCCTGGCTCTGCCTTTGTGTGACCTCAGTCCTGTCACTTCACCTTGGCGTGACTCAGTCTTCTCCCCTTTAGAGTGAGGATAACAATCGGACCTACCTCATGCAGTTGTGAGGATTAGATGTGTTAATATTCGCCTATCAAGTAGGGTTTGGCTCATGGCAAGTGCATACATATGTGGGAGCTGATATTATCAACACTCTGGAAGCTTTCTCAAAACACACGTGTGTGGGCCCTTTCCCAGAGCATACAGTTCCGTCTCTGGTGGGGAGGCTTGGAAAGCTTTTCATCTAAATGATTACTGGCCGAGATTGGGAACTGCTGTCCTTAAAATGCCATAATAGGTCATGGCCACGTACTGACGTTTCTAGTTATTTGTCATTATTGTACTATCATTTTGTGCATGTCATAACATGAAAGAGTTGCAAGAAAAAGGCTGAGGCCTAACACCTCCGAAAGGGCCCGGGTGAGGGGAACAAATGGAGAAAGGTCTTACCTGGGGGCGACATCTAAGGTGTTGATGATGAACCCCGAATCACACAGGTTGCTGGTTCCAGGAATGAGTATCAGCAAAATAATGGTTGTCACGTAACTAGAAGCCACAAAGGGCAAGGCCATGGCACATAGCGATGGAAGGAGGAGCCCTGGGCAATGAGACGCACCATCAGGCCCCCTCTCAGACCAGGTGTGGGAAAAGGGATTAGTTAAGCAAGCCCATGCACCTATCCTTACCTAGGGATGAGAAGAGTTTTCGTACAGTGATTAATCTGAGAAGGTTCCTGGACAGGAGGAAATCTGCCAACTGGCCTCCTAGAATCGTACAACTCGAAGCAGCAATGAAGGGCAGGGAGGACAGAACCCCACTCTGCAGGAAGGAAACATGTACGCTGAGTGCAGATGTGCAGATGGCCGCAATGCTTATCAGTTCCACAGACAACTGTTAGCCACCCCCGGATATACTGAGTGGGTTTTAGGAAGTTAAAAGTTCTTATTTTCCACAGAAGAAGAACACCGCCTCAGGTCAGAGGGCCAGTTACATGGCATGACACTGGTCTCAGAGAGAAAAGTGCTATTAATCTCTAAGGGACACTGAAGAATCGGCTGGTGTGGTGGTGTTGTTCAGTGGTTGAGGACTCAGCTCTTGCAGCCGCTGGGCCACTCAGTGGTTGTGCAATCCAAGGCACATCAGCTGACCTCACATGTCCCCAGGTCCTTGCCTGGACAATAGGAATCATTACATGCCTTTCTCAAGGTCATTGTGAAGGTTAAATGAGTGGTTATGTGCAAGGCCAGAGTGCAGTAGGCATCGTGGAACTATTTCTCCTTATTGCCATTATCGTTTCCATAGAAGCACCGGAAGGATACTCACATCTCTGATGTTCACGTGGAGCACAGAGCTGATGTACGTCGGCAGGTATGTTATGATTATGGTGCATAACCAGAAATGGCTGAAAAACCCCGTGAAAATGGCCCAAAGTGGTAGGCATCTGACCATAGCCTTTATGGGGACAGATCGTCTGGGAGAACTGGACTGAAAGGAAATATCTAATCAACGTGGGGTTAGAACAGGCGTGCGGGTGCCTCTCCCATGAGCCCCACACCCTGCCGTAGGGGCCTCCGCATGGTCCACAGGTAGGAGGGATGCACCATACCTGTTGAGCCAGTGAGGCCACGATGTAGTCCTTTTCCCGGACGCTTATGCATGGGTGATGCACGGGGTCATCATAAATCACCGTGAACCACAGGAGACAGCAGACACAGCCAATGCTACCTGGGAAGCCGGGACCCCGTTAATTTTGGGGTAGATTTCTGTGCTGGGAGAAGGGAGTTTCCTCTGATGTGGCCCACATCCCCCTCAAAACACACCTATCAATTCACGGTTATTCCACCATAAGGAACTAAACTTGCCTGCTTCTTTATTTCAATTCTTCTACAAATCTCTGTTTTTTAAAAAAGATTTATTTATTTATTTGAGTGAGAGAGAGAGAAAGAGAGAGAGACAGCACGAGCAGGAGGGGCAGAGGGAGAGGGAGAGAGAATCTCAAGTGGACTCCTTGCTAAGCACAGAGCCCAATGTGAGGTTTGATCCCAGGACCCTGAGATCATGACCT